TGACGGACCGGAATAATACATGTGATGATAGAGTCGGATGAAATTGCCTCCGTCCTAGAAGGAAGAGCATAATATCTGGCCTGTCCTCCCCCTCCAGGGCGACCTCTACCTACTCGACCTCCACCTCTAGTTGGCTGCGCAGATGGGGTGACAACTGGTACGGCGACCATGGACTGAGAAGCTTGAGGACCCGATGGAATATGTGGAGCCTGAGTAGTCGATGGAGGTGCACCCCTCCTGAGTCTGGGGCAATCCCTCACCATATAATGAGTGTCACCACACACAAAACAAGCTCTTGGGGGACGTGGCTGGCTCGAGCTTGATCGGCTGGACTAACCTCTGAAAGCACCCCGTGTAGGAGGTACACTAGATAATGGCGGTGCATAATAGGGAGCCTGAGGCCTAGGAGTGGCTGGAATACCGCTGGAAGGCGGGAGTGCTGAATGAACATGGCGACTTACATAGCCCCTACCATGATGAGCTGCAACTGTGGCATGGGTACCACTATATGTGCTAGAATCTCGAAACCTCTTGGCCTCCCTCTCCTCTCTCTCCCGAGTCAACATACCCTCCAATCTCCTAACGATACCCACTACCTACTGGTATGCGATATCTATCTCCAACTTTTGGGCCATGCTAAATCTGATATTGGGTTGAGCCCCTCGATAAATGGACGGATTCACTCTCTAACAGTAGCAACCAAGGCTGGTGCATGCCTAGCCAAATCACTACACCGGATCGCATACTCCGACACGGTAATAGAACCCTAGTGCAACTATTCAAACTCTGCGTGCCATGCATAGCTGAGACTCTGGGAACATACTCCCTAAATAACATATCTGAGAACTAAGTCTAAGTAAGCAAAGCTGCCTCGGCTGGACTACCCTACTCATATGCTTGCCACCACTGATAGGACGCTCCCTTAAGCTGGAACATAGTGAAAACAACCCTACTAGACTCCACAATACCCATAGTACGAAGGATACGATGACACTCCTAAAGAAAACCCCGGGCATCTTCTGACGCCAAGCCACTAAAAGTAAGAGGGTGGTACTTCTTGTACCTCTCGAGCCTGAGCTGTTCCCTCTAAAAAAACTGTTGCCCTATCCTCGGGATGAACTGGGGCTACCGGCTGCATTGATATGACCTCTAGGACCTGATCAACCGAAACCTGCTGCTTTGGGGTACGGGCGGCGGGAGTCTGTGCTCCTCTCCCAGCCTGAGATATGGCAGGAGAAAGTGGTATCAACCCTGTCTGAGCCAAGGTACCGAACATGCTCAGAAACTGCACGAGAGTCTCCTGGAGGGCTGGTGCAGTAACAGACGTCTCAGGTGCCTGCCCTCCAACTGGAGCTACTGGTGGCTTCTTTGTACCAGCTCGTGTGGGTGCTCTGGCTGCACCATGTAGACATCCTCGGCCTCTGCCCCGGCTCCGGCCTCTCGCGGCTCTAGCAGGGGGTGCGGATGTCTGGTCATCTGATCCAGCTGTACGTGTCGTCACCATCTGTGAGAGAATAGAAAGACAGAAATTTAAAATCCGAAGTCAAAGATTTCACACGATAAGGAATCAAAGAAGTGAAGCTTTTCCTAACAATTCCATAGCCTCCCGAAATAAGTACATGCGTCTCCATACCGATCCACGAGACTCTACTAAACCTGCTTGTGACTCATAACACCAATGAACCTAGAGCTGTGATATCAACTTGTCATGACCCCAATTTCCCTCCGTAGGATGTCGTGATGACACCTAATCCCTAAGATTAGGTAAGCCTAGCAAACATGCGGAATAACTGAAATGATAATTTAAATATCAAAAATATCAACAACTATATGAAATAAAATCTGCAACTCCCCCCAAAACCCGGTAAAAGTATAAGTCACAAGCTCTAGATACAGTACTGAACACTCCTATATATCACTGTCTATAAAGATGTAAAGAAATAAGAAACGAACATGGTAGAAAGGGACTCCGAGGCTTGCAGATGTGGGCAAGTGTACCTTGAAGTCTCCAAAGCAAGCAACTCAACGTGCTAATACCGAGGCTGATACGATGTACTTGGATCTGCACAAAACATGTGCAGAAGCGTAGTATGAGTACACCACAATGGTACCCAGTAAGTGTCAAGCCTAATAGTGATGAGGTTAGGTCGAGGCCCTACTGGAGATAATAAGAAGCAAGACAGAAAATATAATGATATACTGAAATAACAGGGAACGGAAATAATAAAGAAATTATAGAAAGTAACAACACATAAATCAAGGAAGCTAATAAAATCATGAAAGGAAAACACTGATTTTACATGTTAAGGAAACAACACCCCAACAATACAACAAATAGAGAAGATCAATAGGGCACTCCCGAGGTACCGCCTCGTATTCCCAAATCATAAAAATAAATCACAGTCTTTCCTTATATCACCGCGGGAGCCTTTACATTTAGTTTTGAAAATAATTTTTCCTGAAATAGCATCCCGCGGTTTAGCCCACCTTATCACACTGCATGGATTCTAGTAGTTCCCCTACTAGCTACGCATATCAAGCCCACCTTATCTCACCGCATTCGTTTCAACACCCAGGCCTTATATCACCGCATGCGTATCAATAATCACAACGGCACGGTAGAAACCTTGTGCAAATAGTAACACCCGCACGGAGAAAACCTCGTGCAAACAATAACAACAGCACGGCAGAAACCTCGTGCAACAACCAAACAATAACATCAACAATAAAGCGAAAACCAAAGCATAGTAACTAACAAAATGAAATTTCACAACTTACACCTTTCCCTAGCAGAAACAACGAACTTTTTGCAACTCAGCACCAAACTTAACATCAAGATACTTTAATGATAGCAATTTCAAGAAAGAATCCCACAGTTAAGTAATGAATACAGAATTGAGAAAGCAAGTACTTCAACTAAACATGGAGTACAAGTTGTAAATAAGAGATAAGACAAGTAGACATGCGAAATTAGGCTAAACATGGTGACTATAACATGCTAAAGTAACTCAATTAAGGCATGAAAAGGAAACCACGTAGCTAAAATTGAAATTTCAACATTTAGCCCGTGTACGCACTTGTCACCTTGTGTACCCGACCTTCACATATCACAAATTATCATAACAATGCAAAATCCTAAGGGGAATTTCCCCCACACAAGGTTAGACATGTCACTTACCTCAAACCACGCTAAATCAATCAATTAGAAGGCCTTTCCCTCGATTTTCCAACTCCGAATGGCTTGAATCTAGCCAAAATAATTTCATACTATAAATATAACTATAGGAAACTAATTTAAATGAATAAATTATGATCTTAGCAAAGAATTGAAAAATCGCCCCAAAATGTCAACCCGGGCCCGCACCTCGGAACCCGACCAAAATTAGAATATCCAAACACCCATTCGATATCGAGTCCAACCATACAAGAATTACACAGATCCGATACCAAAATCTCGCTCAAATCCCCAAAATTCGGCCTAAGAAGTTTCCTTCATTTTCCCAATATTTCAACCCAAATCCATAATTAAATGATCAAATCAATGATAGATTTGTGGAATTTAATAAAAAATGAATTAATAACTCTTACCCCAACCATCCCTCTAAAAATCCCTCGAAACTTTGCCTTAAACCGAATACCAACAGCTCAAAAATCTACTACGCAAACGCGGTGAGAAACGTACCAGGGTTACGCGATCGTGTGAACCAAAATGCGACCGCATAGAGTAGTGCACCCATCTCCCAGACCTCCCCTTCCTTCATCGTGAACGCGACACCACCCACGCATTCGTGATGCACTAACCTACCCAGCCTCGTGATCGCATAAGACATCACGTGGTCGCATATCACCAAACCACGCCTGCCAAATCTCAGAGCTTTGCGATCGCGACCCCTCTTCCGCGATCGCATAAGAGGAAACTAGAACTAGGAGAACCAGAATTTCTGCAATTCCACAATAAATCGAAAAGCATCGAACATGGTCCGAATTACACCTGAGGGCCTCGGGACCTCAGCCAAACATACCAACAATCCTAAAATATCATATAAACACGCTTGAAGCGTCAAATCACATCAAACAACACTAAAATCAAGAATCGCACATCGATTCAAGCCTAAGCACTTATGAACTTCCGAATTCCGAAACCAATGCCGATTCATACCAAAACAACTCCGATTTACCCCAAATTTTGCACACAATGAATAATTGACATTACAGACCTATTGTAACTTCTGAAATCGAAATCCGAGTCCACTCCTGGTCAAACTTTCCAAAATTCCACCAATTTATGCCAAAATGACCTACAGACCTCCAAATCAACATCTGGACACACTCCTAAGACTCAAATCACCATACGGAGCTATTGAAACCGCTGAAACTCCATTCCGGATTCGTCTTCACACAAGTAAAACTACGATCAACTCCTACGACTTAACCTTACAGTTTAGGGACTATATGTCCCATTTCACTACGAAACTCACCTGAAACCAAAACCAAACATCCCGACAAGTCAAATAACCATAGTATAACACAGAGAAGGCAATAAATAGGGGATCGGGGCTATTACACTCAAAATGACCAGTCGGGTCGTTACATTATCACACTGCAGAGAGTTTCATCTTTAGGATTCTATTACTAACTAAGATTAACCCTCATTTGTATAAATTTAATTAGTTTAACCAAGATCTATATTTTTGCTCAAATAATTTGGAACAGTCTATGGGGATTTCTTAGTTAATTTTTTAGTTTCCTTTAGATCTATAGCTAACACAAGTCACTAACCTCACAAACCTCAAGATCTCTTTTATTCTTTGTACGTACAAAAACCTACATGGCAGGTATCCAAGGAGAGAGGAAGAAGGTAACAGGTGATCTCGCTAGCAACCTCATGAATGCTATCAATGAGAGCTATGAAACTCTAGGCGAAGACATGATGCCTATTGCCTCCCCTAGGCGCGAGAGGTCTCCTCCCCCCATTGTAGTATAACAAAACCCAACGAAAAATGAGCTCTCATGTCCACAGAAGAAGGAACACCACCAGCCCTGAAGAAGCTCCTCAAGGCATGGCTGACAGATACACTGGTGAGCATGCTCAACATGCCCACTCCAAGCACGACTATAGAAATTGTAAGAGCATACATGATATAACAAACAAACAAACGATGCAACCGACCAAACCCTCCGACAACAGGTATAACACTAACAATATTACTCAAAATGCAAATGATATAGTGCCATCGCTGCCGTTCTAAATAGGATGGAGGAAATGGAGAATGAAAACAAAGCACTCCAAGACCAGATAAAAGAATACTTTGAATGAGTCGACAAGATACCGGACGCCCCTAAGTTACTGCCAGAAAAGGACACATGTAGGTTCGTAGAGCATCCATACAATGACAAAGCAGCCCCGTATGCCATACCAAAGACCTTCAAAATGCCAACCTACCTCAGGATATATGACGGAACAACCGATTTTGAGGATCATGTGACCCATTACGTCACCAACGTGAAAGGAGACGACCTCGCCAAGGAACAAGTGTCCTCTATTTTGCTGAAGAAGTTTGGCAAAACCCTTAGGGAGAGGTATTAACATGGTACTTACCGCTACCAGCCCGCTCCATAGAAACTTTAGAGGAAATGGCCGATAAGTTCGTAACTTCCTATGCCGGAGCCAAGAATGCCGAAGCAAGAGTAAACGACATATTCACTATCAAGCAGTCCTTGGGAGAGGGACTGAGGGACTTCCTAAGTCGATTCAACAGAGTAAGAATGACTCTGCCGAATGTGTCCGAAGGGATGACGATTGCAGCTTTCCAAAACGGGTTGAGTAGAGATAGTTCGAGAGCAACTAGAAAATTATTGAGCCGGTTAATAAAATATCCTCTAACCACTTGGGACGAAATCCATAATGCTTATGATGCCGAGGTCCGAGCAGATAAGGACAACCTTAACATACCAACTAATCAGCTAATCTCGGTACACACCAAATCCAGATAAGAACGAAGAGACAACAATATGAGGGATCACCCGGTCTCGCGACCCAATAGGGAATGACACCAGCCATACGTCAGGGCGCCCGCCGCACCTTCCCTCCGCTATGAAGAAGGTCCATCCAAGCCAAGAACAAGGACTCACCGAAACGAGAGAGGAATACCCCCTTATTATCTACTCACAATTTTTGTGTGTCACCTACAGAAATAGTCTATGCTCTTGAGAAACTGGGAACAAAGTTAAAGTGGCCGCCAAAGATGAGATCCGATCCGAACTCTAGAAAATCCGACGCCCTCTGTGAGTTCCACCAGGAACGTGGGCAAAAAATAGAAGATTGCATTGCCCTCAGACAAGGAGTCGTAAACATGTTACGACAGGGGTACCTCAAAGAGGTATTAAGTGACAAGGGGAAAATCACCTTCGATGAGTCAGATGCCGACATTTTGACTTTCCCTTATAATGATGCCCTCACAATTACTTTACGCATTTTAGACACTGATGTCAAACGTATCATGGTGGATGATGGAAGTGGAGCATGCATTATCCATCCCCGAGTCCTCACCCAAATAAAACATGTGGATAAGTTAGTGTCGCGCTGTATCACACTAACTGGTTTTAATAATGCAGTTGAGCGGATGGCAGGGGAAGTTACACTCCCCATCTTGGCCGGCGACATGACTATGGAGACGACATTCTACATCATGGATCAGGCCACCGCGTACAATGCCATAGTGGGACGACCATGGATACATCCCAAAAGAGCCATCCCCTCCAGCCTATACCATCTAATTAAATTCCCAACACCATGGGGAATATTCAGCATAAGCGGAGAACAACGCACGTCCAGGGAATGTTATTGCATTTCCTTAGAGAGTACGACAACCCAACAGAAAAAAGAAGCATAGCAATCAACAAGGCTGAGGTCGACGCAAGAAGAGACCAAGGACGTCATCATGGATCCCGAAATGTTCGAGGTAGCATATTCGACCATAGAAGACCTCGACCCCGTTCGATTGGACCTCAAAGACCATAGCAAAAAGGCCTACATCGGCTGTAAACTCCGGGAGCCAGGTAAATTCAGTCAATTCTTAATAACTAATGCAGATTTGTTTGTCTTTAGCCATGTAGATATGCCGGGTATACCCAGGGAAATCGCTACACACAAATTAAATGTCGACCCGTTCTACCCCCTCCACCCTAGTAAGGCAAGTCAGGCATAAGTTCAACCCCGCCATCAACGACGCAGTCCGCAAGGAGGTGGAGAAACTTTTAGAAAATGGCTCTATCAAGGAGTCAAAGTACCCCAAGTGGATCGCCAACGTAGTGATGGTCAAAAAGAAAAATGGGAAATGGAGGATATGCATGGATTTCACAGACTTGAACAAAGCATGTCCGAAGGATTCATTCCCATTACCCGACATCGACCAGATCATCGATGCAACGGCTAGGCACGAGGTATTAAGTTTCTTGGACACATACTTAGGCTATAACCAAATACTTATGAAAAAAAAGACCAGGAAAAGACCACGTTCATCACCCATCGAGGAACGTATTGTTATAGGGTCATGCCGTTTTGGACTAAAGAACGTAGGGGCTACATATTAAAGATTGGTCACAAAGATGTTCAAGGACCATCTCGGCAAGACCATGGAAGTATACATAGATGACATGTTGGTCAAGTCCGTAAAGGCAGAGGATCACATCGATCATTTGAAGGAAGCTTTCGACATATTAAGACAGTACAAAATGAAACTAAACCCAGAGATATGCGCATTTGGCGTAGCCTTAGGAACGTTCTTGGATTTTTCAATATTCAGAATTGAAGAGTTACTACATTTTTTGAAGCAGAATTAATTGTACACAAGGTAAGTTACAGTTTATGGTATTTTCATTGAAACGGATGGCCATGTGAGGCCAAAGAGATATTGTTTATTGTTTATGGCATGTGTGTTATACGGTATGTTTCTAGCTATTTGACAGGTATGAGATAGTGCTGTTTACCGAGGAGACTCTGTCAAAATTTTCATAAAATCCATAAGAGCTAGTTTCTCCTCTAAGAAGCATTTACATTCGAGGACAAATGTTCCTAAGGGGGGAGGACGTTACACCCTGTACTTTCATATTAGAATGAGTCTTAAGTGAATTAATATGAGCCGAAGAGTTAAAGGACCTTATAAGACTAGGTGCCATCACGACATCCTACGGAGGAAAATTTGGTTCGTGACACCAACTCCCCAATCCTTTCGTCAAGCCGCTCTTTTCTAAGCTTTGCCGTCGACAAATCATTTTCTCGTTCAGAGCGAAGAGTTTGGTTTGCCACTTCAAGAGATTCTGCCCTCCTATGAGCCTCTGACCGAGCGAACTTTGCCTTCTCTAGCTCCTCCATCTTCTCGGCAACCTCTCCACTAAGAGCCTCTGCCCTGAATTGTCATTCCTCAAGCTGGCCTCGCAGAAAGACTACCTGATCTTGGAGATCACTACACTAGGATTCTATCCCCCCGCTAAGCTCGATCTCTTCCTCTTTGCTCCTCAACGTCCCTTCCAGGACGCTGCACTTCCCCACTACCCGCACCATCTCCTTGTCTCTTTCCTTCAAGTCCTCCCTTAGTTGGCGCACATCGTCACTTTCACAGCACCGACATCGAAGCTCCCGGTACTTCTCAAGGCATTTGAAGTACTTGTCCTACAAATTTACATAAATATCTTTACATCTTTGTTCCTTATGGGCACTTTCAATCTCCAGGACGACCATATGAAAAAGTACGAAAAAGCAAAACGTAAGGAAGATAATAGACATCAAATGTACTTACTTGAAGGACGAGACCAGTAATATTATTTGACAGGGTGTTGTCGTTTATAGTCTCGAGGGTCGTACCCTCAATTTCAGAACAAAGAGGCCGAGGGAGCGGACTATCTCCTCGGTGTTCACAAGAAGTGTAGCGGTCGCCTTTCTGAAAGAGGGCACCGGTGTCCGGCTCCTCCGAGAACCCCTACCTGAGAAAAGACACCATTAAGTTAGCAAAACGAATCTGCACATAATCGGAAATGGAGTGACCTGATTAAAGAAAGGAAATTACCTATCGAAGTGAGAGCAGACCTGAATTTCTTGAAAAAACTTGGCCAATCACGGATCCCTATGATGTGAGGGAGGAGCCGCTTGACCCAGTCAGAAATATGAGCGTCCAAAGGAGAAGGGGAGGTCTTTTCTGCAAAAGAAGAAGGCAATAAGTCCGAATTTAGGACCGAACACGGGGGAGAAACCGGGTACTTACGAGTATAGTTCCTAGCCTCAGGAAAGCCGTTGATGTTGGCCACAATATCCTCGGTTTTGACAAAAAAGAAGTTTAACCAGAATTGATGACTGACCTTGCCATCCATCTTCACCACCTAGCATTTTCCCCCTTGGTGGTGAAGGTTCAACATCGTTCCCCTATAAAAGCTAGGGGAGAATAGATGTATTAATTGTCGTAGTGTTAGTTTGACCCCGGTCAGTTCAGCAAACTTAGTGAGCATCTTTATAATTTTATAGACATACGACACGAGCTGAGCAGGACAAACACCGTAGGGGCGACAGAACTCCTCCACCAACGAAAGGAGGGGGAAATAATAGTCGACTTGGAAAGGGTAGGTGTAGAGGGCGCAATACCCAGGATGGTGGACCTATACCGTGTCCCCCTCAGTAGAGATCAACTCGATATGATTGGGAAGGCCAAATTTGGCCTTGAGCTCTGCAATTCCTTCACCGTCACCACAGATCGAAAAGTTCTAGGCACGGCCTCTGGTGATTTGGTGACATCGGATCTGGAGTCAGGGATATGTGGGATTATTTCCTCCACCGACGGGAAGGTTTCATCCTCAATGGTGGCGTAAACGATCTCCCATGGGAGGGAAACACCACTGCCAAGGGAGCAAAACGACTCCCCTCACTAGTATTAGAAGACACGTTAGACATGATTTAATATAGTGGAGGAGAGTAACAAATGAGAGGGAATAAATAACAATACAGGCCAATGAAGCAAAGAAGAAATTCGGAGAAGAAAAGAGCAATAGAAAGGTATGGTGCTTCGAAACCTTAGAGGGTTTAAACTCCAAAATCAGGATCAAGGATCTCTATTTATAAAGGTCATGGCACCAAAACCGAAAAATAATTCATCATGACTAGCACCGGAACCGAAGCGGCAGGTCTAATCAAAGGTCACACGCGAAATGAAGTGACGCCTCGAGAATATGCATCATAATGACGCATGGCATCATGACATCATCCCAACCCGTGGACAACAGAACTCCAGCGAATCACCCGGGAAATTTGAATTATTTGAAATGCGCGGCCCACAAAGGGCCATGTCGCCTGCTCACCGCAACAACAAGAACTTGTTTAGTCCATCTGATTAGCTCGGCCACCAATGACATGATCCGCTCATCGAACCCGCTCGCGAAGCCGGACTTAATAAGCAGAGGGACTAACTGTATAAGTCAAAATCTATCTCTAGAATATTTTAAGTCGAAAAGGCATTAGTAAAACATTCCAAGGGTGTCACGTATCGAAGTGATCTAATTAACAACGAAGGTCGTGGTCAACGAGTCAGCAAAGACTGAATTCGAGGAGTCGTCGAAGATCGAGTCCGAGGTTGAATACCTTTGATAGATTTATAACGGCTAGTTTCATGATAGGACATTAAAGAGAATGTTCTAGTGGATATTCTCTACATTTGTACTATTAGAGTTTTTAGAAACATGAAATGGCATCGGGCGAGGGCACCGCTATGCCCCTTAATGAATCGAATGGCTCTTCGACCTTCTTTTGATTCTGACGGCCGGCATTGATCTCATGAGACCTGCCCACTATTACTATGAAAAAAGCCCTACCCCTTCCTTCGCTACTAGGAAGAAAAGCAACTTCTATTAGCGCCGGACCTTGAGCGAAGCAAACCTACACCCTAGTTGGCTCCAGGCCAAAGTGATAAAAAGGCGAACAATCGTATGTTCCCTATAATAGAAAGAGACATAATGATAGAGAACATGAAATATTCATTTGAAAAATATACTTTGACTTTAGAGAGAGAATCTGATCTTATTGCAAGCCTACAAAAATAACCTTTTCACTAAGATTCTTGTCCATACTTTTCCACTAAATTCGAGAATAACTCGGATATTCAAAGGCTTATCCATCATTCATCATTGTCAAAAAGAACATCAATTGATTTCATCTTTTCTCGGATGACTCATTTGTTCTATTTACATAAATGCCATATATTTCTATTCATCACTATTTAATGTTATATTACTTCTGTTTGATTCCTTAAATATTAATTATTGCACTTCGTCATAGCTTTTGGAATAGATCTACGTGCTATTTATCTGTCACGATCCCAATTTCCCTCTGTAGGATGTCGTGACGGCACTTAGTCTCTAAGACTAGGTAAGCCTAACAAATATGCGGAATAACTGAAATGATAATTCAAATATCAAAAACATCAACAACTATATGAAATAAAATCTGCAACTCAACATGTACATATCCCTCATTTATATAAATTTAATTAGTTGAACCAAGATCTATAATTTTGGTCAAACACATAATACACATAAGTTATACTTAATCCGTATATATTTTTATTTGGATAGCACCTATAAATATTTTTGGACGACAAAAATTTTGGGATGCGCTCCTGGAAATCGCCAAATGTTTTTATATGATGATCACTAAGATATGCCTCAAAACAGGACAATCGCTGAATTTTTCATATGGTGATACCTAAAATTGCCCCAAAATATTTCAAAGCCAGAATTTTATATGAGAACAACAACTCTTCCCAATATTCTGGCCGGAGGCTATTTTTCCAAGAAAGCTTTATCAAGGCTAAACTTAAACGGTGGTCCTAAAAAGTTCTACCCAACATAATTTGGGAAAATACACAAACAAAACCATTATTAGAGTTGTTATTTAAAATTTAGCCAATACTTATTTTATCCTAAAAATTTGAAATAAAATCTTAATTTCAGGACAATTTTGAATTTTTCTTTCCTAAAAAATTAAACTAAAAAATTAAAATTCAAGACAAATTGGTTAATTTTTAAAGCAGCCCAATATAGTGGCTACCTGGTGTCAATTCTACTCATAATTTGTACTGATGACAAGAGTTGCCAAAAAAGCTCAGTCCAACCTAACTCAGCCTCGTTGGTCTGTAGGCTAACTTGGGTGATAAAAGGCTAGCCCAACCCAACCTAAGGTGGAACTTTGTTGTGGACCAATTCATAAATAGATTTTTTTACCGGATGTCCTCACTAAGATAATAGATTTTTCTTGACTCAGATCGAATTCAAAGCAAGAAGAAAGTTCGATGTTACAAACTTACAATGAGATCTCGAGAATGGTTAAGAGTTGATAGGTTTGCTGATTTGTTCTATTGCTTTATATTACAAAGTTCTAAATCTGATGCACAATTAATGCTTGAAATATAGAATCGATGTGAAGTTCTACATAAAGATATATCTGCATGTTTTGTATGTTGGACCCGAATGGTTATAGACCATAGTTTGTGCATTCAGTTAATTGGCTATTTCGATGTAATTTTATGAGTAAAATAAAATAATCAATGTCAGGAGTTTTCAAAGTGGTGTCAGGTGACACCGTTTTGTATCACAGTCTAACCAAATTAATAAGGAAATGAATAAATGCGAAAAAAAATTGGGACAATTTTAGGACAATTTTCTGTTATATTGAAATAAAAGAAGAACTAAACTACAAGCTAAGGAGAAGAGAGTTGAAAAACTAAATGAAATAGTAAATCTCCATGACTGAACTCTAGACCTGCAGAAGAGAGAAGGGACTGCGTTAGAGGAGAAAGAGAAGGGAATCAGGAAGAAGAGAATTTGGGAGGAAGTGAGAGAAAGGAAATACCGTGTAGTCATTGCTCCTCTATGCAGAGTTTGTTAGTTAAATAACAAACTCCTCGCCATCTAGGCTGGTAGAATCTAGTCCCTTGAGTTTCAATAAGTAACTAATTATCTGAGCCCTCGATTATGTGATTAGTTAAACCTACCATGCTAATTCAAGATCGAACTCCGTTAGCTAAACTTATTTAGTTAATAACTTCTGGATCATAACATATCCTTCCCCTTAAAATAATCCTTCTCCTTAAGGATTAGAAACAAAATTAGGAAACTTAGCCTTAATGAAATCATAATCCTCCCAAGTCGCATCCTCAGGTGGAAGATTAGACCATTGAATAAGCACCTTCACAGCAACCACATTGCCCTTTCTGGTGAGCTGTCTCTATAAAATTGCGACTGGTTTGACTAAGAATTACCCTTCATTACTAGTCATAGGTAAGGTAGTTTGCACCACAGCCTTGGTGTCTATCTTTTTATTCAACAATTATACGTGGAACACTGGCTGAACCTTGGAGGTATGAAGGAGTAACAACTTATAAGTAACTTGGCCAATCTTGTCAAGCACCTGATATGACCCATAGTATTTGGAACTTAGCTTCAGGTTCTTCCTGAGAGCTAATGAGGTTTGTCTATAAGGTTGAAGCTTTAAGTATACCATATCACCAGGTTGGAATCCTGTTTCTATCCTTTTATGATCAACAAACAATTTCATCCTTTCTTAAGCCTTAAGGAGATTATCCTTCAGTAGTTGCTGCATTTGTTGCCCCTGCATAACTATATCTTCAGCTGCTGGCACAGTAGTGTCTAAGAGTCACCCCATTGAGATTTGAGGAGGACAATAACCATATAATGCTTTGAAAGGGCTTCACTGAATAATGGTATGGAAGTTTGTGTTATACCACCATTCTGCAAGGTATAACTAGTCCTTCCATTGTGTCGGTTTGTGGCTAGTCATGCATCTTAGATAGTTCTCAATGCATCTATTTAACTTCTCTGTTTGACCGTCAGTTTGAGGGTGATAGGATGAACTATACAGCAATTGATTACCTTTTAACTTGAAAAGAGCCTGCCAAAAGTTACTGAGAAAGATTCAATCTCTATCAGAGACTATCGACTCAGGAGTGCCAAGCAATGTATGAACTCGTTTCCAGAACTTATTAGCCACATCAACTGCAATAATGAGATAGTGACATTAAATGAGCTGATTTAGTCATTCTATCCACCACTAAAAAAATGACATCTTTACCTTTGGATTTAAGCAATCCTTCAATAAAATCCACCGAGATATGTCTCCAAACTTGATCAGGTATAGAAAGGGGTTGTAATAACCCAAGATAAGCTACATATTCCTCCTTACTTTTCTGGAAAACATCACATTCAGACACATAACTTATAACCATTTGTTTCATTAAAGACCAATAGAATAGTTGAGCTAATATTTTGAGTGTACCTAACTGCCCTGAGTGCCCACCTGTTGAAGAATCATGTAAAACTTGAACCAACTGATGCCTCAAGTTACAAGTTGTCCCAATGCATATCTTCCCTTTTCTTCTTAGCACTCCAAAAGTGAATTTCCAGATTTGTGGTCCTTATACATTTACTGATAGTTGTTGTCACGAACCGAAATTCCCACCTTCGGGACCGTGATGGCGCCTAACATTTCACTTGCTAGGCAAGCCAACGTTAGAATAATATTATCCATTTTAAAATAATTTTTAAATTTATTAATAACAAAGGAACAAATGCAGAAGTAAGGTCTGAAATATAGTGAATAATCCATTAAAACAACGGTGTCTAAATACCATCCCAAAATTGGTGTCACAAGTGCACAGACTTCTAGAATAATAAAAATAAAGGTCTGAATAAAATAAAGCTGTCTGAAAACAAACACACAGCTAAAGTAGAGTAGATGGAGACTTCAGAACTACGGGCGCCGTGCAGTTATACCTCAAGTCTCCTCTGGTAGCTGAAATCCGAACAAATTTATGGTGCGTCGCTGGGACCAACTCCGAAATCTGCACAAGAAGTGCAGAGTATAGTATCAGTACAACCGACCCCATGTACTGGTAAGTGCTGAGCCTAACCTCGACGAAGTAGTGACGAGGCTAAGGTGGGTCACTTACATTAACATGTACGCAATATTAGTAACAACAACAAATAATAGAAATAAATCAGGTAAATCATTTATAATAGTTGAAGCCAACTCAATAGTCATAACCAATTTCCGTTGCAGCGTGCAAAACGCTCCCACAATATATTCATTTTCAATCCTCCAATATATTTATTTTTAATCAATTATGTATATAGACTTTTAAATAAGTCTGTTACGACGTGCAATCCGATCCCCCAATATAGACTTTTTAATAAGTCTGTTGCTGCGTGCAATCCGATCCCTTAATAAGTCTGTTGTGGCGTGCAATCCGATCCCCCAATATATTTATTTTTAATCAAGTATATATATAGACTTTTAAATAAGTCTGTTGCGGCGTGCAATCCGATCCCCCAATATAGACTTTTTAATAAGTCTGTTGCGGCGTGCAATTCGATCCCCCAATATATTCATTTCAATCAATTCTGTTGCGGCGTGCAACCCGCTCCTCCAATATATCCATTACCAATTCTTATAGAATAAATTACCCCAATAAATGCAACAATTAATATAAAATCTTTAAGACAACAAGCATACAATAATTATAATTTATTTATGAACAAACAATGGCAATTAGCAATTAATTGTGAAAATCGTGAATAAAATAGGCATTTTAATATTTAGTATGCTAAATGTCAAATAATAATTAAGACACATAAATCAAATAGCATGTAACAATTATTGTAGGAATTCAAGAATTAATATTTGATAAATAATAGGAGAGAAATAATTATTATAACAATTAATTAGTGTCTTAGAACAATTTATGATTTTTAAATAATTATGCAAACAATTAATTTGACGACGTATAGACACTCGTCACCTCGCCTATACGTCGTTCACATGTATTTCACATAACTAATTTAAGGGTTCTATTTCCTCAAGTCAAGGTTAACCACGACACTTAACTCGCTTTGCAAATTCCAATAAATTATTCGACCACAATGTTTCCTTTTGAATTTATCTCCAAAAGTATCAAATCTATTCACAAACAATTCGATATACTCAATACGAATCATTGGAATTAATTCCATATGAATTTACTAATTTTTCAGATAAAAATCCGAAATTTATTTAAATATTTGACAGTGGGACCCACGTCTCAAATCCTGGAAAAACTTACGAAATTCGAACACCCATTCCGCTATGAGTTCAACCATACAAAAATTATCCAATTCCGATGTCAAATGGACCTTCAAATCTTAAATTTTCGTTTTTGGAAGATTTTATAAAAATCTAATTTTTCTTCCATAAATTCACGGATTCATGATGTAAATGAGTATGGAATTATGAAATATAATCGATATAGGATAAGGAACACTTACCCTAATATTTTCCATGAAAATGGCCCAAGAATCGCCTTACCCGAGCTCAAAATTTGGAAATGGTTAAAAATAGGCCGAAATCCTATTTCCAGAACTTAAGTTCTGTTTTTCAGATTTTTATTATCGCGATCGCGGAAATTCGTTTGCGATCGCGTAGCACAATTTTTGCCTAGGCGCAATTTACTCTTCGCGATCGCGGATAATTGTTTGCGATCACGAAGCACATTTTGGCTGCCCATTTTATTATCTCTACGCGATCGCATAAATGGCCATGCGATCGCACAAAATATTTTCTCAACCTTACGCGATCGCGTACAGGCTTATGCGATCGCGCAGCACAAATTTAGTGCTTTGGCTTCTGCCTCATTTCTTCAACGCGATCGCAACATTGCCCACGCGTTCGCGGTGCACTGGGAGTTAGCCTTCCGCGATCGCGTGACTATCTTCGCGAACGTGAAGGGTAAAACTCATGACTCATAATTTCCTCTTCGCGGTCGTAGGAATGGCTTCGTGATCGCGAAGCACAATGCACCAGATGACAGCAGAAGCTCAAAAACCAGATTTTCTAAGTTCAAAATCATCACGTAGCCTATCCGAAACTCACCCGAGCCCTCGGGGATCCAAACCAAATATGCACACAAGTCCTAAAACATCATACGAACTTGATTGCACGATCAAATCGCCAAAATAACACCTAGAACTATGAATTGAACCCCAAATCGAATGAAATTTTCAAGAAAACTTTAAAACTTATATTTTTACAATCGGATGTCCGAATCACGTCAAATCAACTCCGTTTCTCTCCAAATTTGGCAGACAAGTCATAAATATTATAGTGGACCTATACCGGGTTACAGAACCAAAATACGCATCCGGTGTCAATAAGATCAAGCATCGGTCAATTCTTAAAATCATCAAGCTTTCAAACTTTTAATTTTTCATCAAAATTCTATATCTCGGGTTAGGGACCTCGGGATTCGATTCCGGGCATACGCTCAAGTTTCAAATCATAATACGGACCTACCGGAACTGTCAAAATACTGATCCGAGTCTGTTTGCTCAAAATGTTGACCAAAGTCAACTCAGTTGAGTTTTAAAGCTCTATTTCACATTTTAATCTATTTTTCACATAAAAACTTTTCGAAAAATTTTACGGACTGCGCACGTAAGTCAAAGCGTGATAAATAGTGCTTTTTATTTTGGGTCATCACAGTTGTGCCATCAAGTGAGAAGCCAAAGTATCACCAATGTAGCTATCACTGATTTCCTGCATCCAACTTTGGACTGTCACGCTTATAGAATGAAGTGAACCTTGAGGGTAGTTGTTATCTGGAACCTGCAAGCCTTCATATTGTCTTGAAAGGGAATCAACCACTATATTCTCATCCCCTCTCTTGTACTGGACTTCACAGTCCAGTCCCAACAACTTGGTCAATCCTTTCTGTTGGATAACTGAAATGAGTTTCTATTCAAGAAGGTACTTCAGACTATGGTGATCAGTCCTCACAACAAAATGCCTATATGGTAGATAGTGTCTCCATTTGTCTATGGAACTAAGCAATGCCATATACTCCTTTTCATAAATGGATTTGTCCCTGTGCCGATGTGCCAGCAACTTGCTGAAAAAAGCTATTGGCCTTCCCTTTTGCATTAGGACAACACCAATTCCTGAGTGGCTAGCATGTGTCTCGACTATAAACTCTTGAGTGAAATCTGGCAAGGCAAGTACTAGGGCGGTTGTCATGGACTTCTTAAGTGTTATGAAAGCTTGTTCTTCCTCTTCATTCCACTTGAATGCATCCCTTTTTAAGAGGTCTGTTAATGGTGTAAAAATTATATCATAGTGAGCTACATATTTTCTGTAATAACCTATTAGGCCTAGGAATCCCCTGAGAGCCTTAAGGGTGGTTGGTCTAGGCCAGTTAACCATGGCTTCCACCTTGCTAGGGTCAGTTGTTACTCCTTGAATATTGATGGCATGCCTAAGGTATTCAACTTGAGGTTGGCCAAATGAACACTTAGACCTCTTAGTATAGAGAGTGTTCTTTTTCATAATGTCAAAAACCAAGGATAAATAGCTCACATGATCAGACAAGGATCTGCTATAGATTAATATGTCGTCAAAGAACACTAACACAAATTTTCTGAGAAAAGGCTGAAAAACTCGGTTCATTAAGGCTTGAAAAGTTGCAGGAGCATTGGTAAGCCCAAAAGCATTACTCTAAACTCATAGTGACCCATGTGAGTCCTGAATGTTGTCTTAAAAACATATTCTGCCCTCATTCTGATTTGGTGGTACCCAACCCTCAGATCCACCTTAGAGAAAATCATAGACCCTTGTAATTCATCCAATAAGTCATCCACAATAGGTATAGGGTATTTGTCTTTGACTGTAATGTCATTTAACTCTCTATAGTCCACACAAAATCTCCATGTTCCATCATTTTTCTTCACTAGTAAGGTTGGAGATGAGAGTGGTGATTGGTTGGGCTAAATGATCCCACTCAACAACATCTTTGTTACTTACCTCTCCAGCTCTTCATTTTGATAATAGTTGTATCTGTAAGGCCTCAAATTGACAGGAGTTTCCCCAGGTTTTAATGGAATTTGATGATCTAATAATCTGGCAAGGGGCAAGGCTTTGGGCTCTACAAAAATTTCTTGATAGTCACTCAGTACCTTCTGTATAGGGGCAACTATTTCATCCTCATGTGATTGGCTCAAACTGACCATAAACAGATGGACCATGAGTGTGTGTCCTTTTTTTAATAATCTCACCATTGAGCTGCTGCTGATCATATTTAGTCTTCCCTCTTTAGTAATGGAATGTAAGACAGTCTTATTGCATTTTCTTCCAATTGTCACCGTATTCGTTTCATGATCAAACTTGGTGGGGTTGTACTTTTTCATCCAATCATTGCCCAATAGCAAGTCACGACCACCTAAATTGATGATCCTCAAGTCCTCTACAAATGATTTTCCTCCCATCTTTTAGCTGAACCCCATGCAACTAGCATTGCACATCACATAAATTCCATCTGCAAAAGTTACTCTCATTTGGGAACTATAACCTGGTGCATATCCAGTTTCCTTCACAGCTTGTTCATCAATAAAGCTGTGAGTACTCACAAAATCTACTAGAATTGTGAGAGTTTTATTTTTAATAATCCCCTTGACTAGTATCGAGTTCACTCCAGAGTTGTTACCAGCTAATGCACTGAGGCAGATAGCCTCTAAAACCTCCTTTTGGATCTCACCCTCAATAACAATATTGGCCATTGCAGGATTTTTTTCTTGAGATTGTGGACTTGTTATCACTGCGGTAGGGCTATCTTTATCTTCACCCACTAAACAATTCAGCTGCCTAATTTTGTATTGGTGCCCAGGTACATATTTTTCACCATATCTAAAACATAAGTGATTGGATTTTCTGTATTCAGATACCTCTGGACTCAGTCCGTAAGCTCCAGTCCTGTTGGATGCTTGATTTGAGGTTCTGTTGGTAGTCATAACCCCAGTTTGTGAAACACCTCTCCCCATTTATCTGTCCTTCTTATGCACAACCTCAATAGCTTTATCCTGTATTCTAGCTTGCTCGATGGCTTCACTCAAGGTAGAAGGTTTGAACAGCTTTACGATGTATTTGATTTCTTCCTTAAGGGCCCCCATAAAGCTGGATAGGAAGTGAGACTCATTCAATACAGGGTTCCTCATTATCATTTGTGCCTTAAGGTCTTCGAATTTCCCCAAGAATTAACCTACAGATCAAGTTTGAATTAACTTGTTGAATTCTTCTGCTATGTCCTCCATTAAGGTTTCACCAAATCTAATACACAGTTCATCTTTAAATTCCATCCAAGTTATCACTCCCCTACTCAAAACGAGTGAGTTATACCAAGTTTCAGCTACACCATTCAGGTATAATGCAGCATCATCTTCCTTCATATTTTCAGCAGTCCTATACAATTTAAAATACCTTTCGCATTTTCTGAGCCATACCTTAGGTTCAGCACATTCGAAACATGGAAGTTCCCATTTGGGAGGAGGTATTGTCCACCCTGGAATCCTGTTAGCCCTAGCGTAATAGCCAGGTACTGGTAGCAGACCATCGCCAAGTGGATTGACATTTTCTACTGCTCTAGCAGGCCTAGGTAACAAGCCCTAGCTATTAAGATTAGCCTCGTCCCCTGCTCTCACAGGCCTGGTAATAGTCCATCACCTTGAGGATTTGTATTTTCAGCTACTCCAGCAAGTGCTCTTTCAAGTGCAGTCAGTCAGTCCATGATCTGCTCTAGAGCTCCTCGTATAGCCATCCGCGTCTCGTTAAGTTCCCTACATGTGGCTGTAAGTTCCTCCATTGTTTCATTCTATTTTGCAAGTTTTTCAACCATCAACTTCATTCGAGTACCTTTCGCCATTATCGGGCCAAAAGGTATAGGTTCAGGCTTTGATACCAAATGTCACAGTCTAGCCAAATTAATCTGGAAATGAACAAATGCGAAAAGGAATTGGGACAATTTTCTATTATATTGAAATAAAAGCATAACTGAACTACAAGCTAAGGAAAAGAGAATTGGAAAACTAAATGAAACAGTAAATCTCCATAACTGAACTCTAGACCTGCAGAAGAGAGAAGGGACTGGGTTAGAGGAGAAAGAGAAGGGAATCAGGAAGAAGAGAATTTGGGAGGAAGTGAGAGAAAAAAAATACCGTGTATACATTGCTCCTCTCTGCAGAGTTTGTTAGTTAAATAACAAACTCCTCGCCAGCTGGCAAAATCTGGTCCCTTGAGCTTCAATAAGTAACTAATTATCTGAGCCCTTGATTATGTGATTAGTTAAACCTCTCCTGCTGATTCAAAATCGAACTCCGCTAGCTAAACTTATTTAGTTAATAACTTTTGGGTCATAACATTTTACCAAAATCTTTTACTAAATATGTTAGTATAAGTAATAAGTAAAATGAAAATATTTGGAATAAATATAAAAAAATAACAATGTTTATCATCATTGTGATTTGTTTATTTTTCAAATGTTAGATATTGCTTACAATTATTTTTGTACATGCCACTGATGAGCAGATGAGGAAGTTGTATGTGTTACTATCTGACTTGAACCACGTAATAAATATTGCAACAAGAAGATTTGGAATTGCAATGATGTCTACACTGATGGCAAACCCACCCAAGGTGGTTTTGCTAATTCCATGGTTGTTGATCAAAAGTAAGTCTCTTACCCTCCATATATATAGAGAAGTACCTTTCTTTCGATTACGAGTTTATCTTTTAGTTATATGCTGACAGAGATTAATCAAAGTATTAAGTTATATCTAAACATACTTGTTTATAAAATAAGATTTTAATTTATATGAAGTGACATTGTAAATTTTTTAATCTATAATAACATATAAATATGGTTGCTCTGTTGATGAATCATTTAATACCATTACTCTACAAATATGGTTGTAGAGTAATTCTCACCGTTGTTTGTTCTTTATATATAGTTGAGGCCTTGACTTTACTTCTTTTTTTGTGGTTAAATTAAAACTAAATGCTTTAAAATGAAAATGACAACTCATTGTGCAACACCTTATTTATCTTTACTTTGTCGGTGATGTGCGATAAAGCAAGTAAACAAAAAAGAAGTGGTTGAATCTGGAGTGGGTGATCGACTGAGAGAAACTGGCAAGGAGAAATAATAGAAGTAAATTTAAATTCTCCTATGTAAGATAAGAATTTGGACATTTTAGAGAAAGACAGAGGCATGAATTCCTGTCTCATTCTGTTGTGAAAGGTTTTGACTTAGCTTCAATTCACGTGCTTAAGATCATTGTCACGCGTTGAATTATTTTTTTATTTTATCCCAACCATTCACCTCAAATCAATAAATGCAAACTTTGTGGTACTATCTCAGTCTAAGGCTTTGGGAGCCTGTATTTGTGGGAGCTGAGGCCACATTCACTACCATCGCAGTCTGGGTCCAACTAGGACTTGAGAGGCTTGCTTCGGTAGGAGTAAAAAAAAAAAGGCTCAAGAAGGAACCGCACTCGAAGATATATATATTACAAATACAAAAATTTAGGATTTGAACTTAATTCTAGATTCCACTTCGCAATTTTACCACGACCTATTTGATTATTTGAGTTTGTAATCAATTATTCATACTTATTTACTGAACTTTTTAGCACATATAGAAGGTCTGAGTCAACACTATTATGTTCGGATAAACCCATCATTTACACTCCACATCTTTTGAACACAGAAAACAATTATAGGATCAACTCCTCAATTTAAGAAACTGATCATTCCATACCTCAAGCGTGTAATCTCATTTGTGTGGAACCTGATTTTTTTTCGGTCCTAAACTCTCTCTTGAATACGTATGATAACTTGGGCAGGGTGATAAATGAGTCCTTTTATTTATATCTTCATCGTTGGCTATTTGTAAACAAAGTCCGGCCCGCATCACAAGTAGAAAGAAAATGGATTACTTATAAGGGATTTGATACTCTTAGGGGTCATTTGGTAGAATACATTAAAGAAAATATTAATGCATGCATTAGCTTTTAGTATTACTAATCCCTTATTTGGTACACCTTTTCAATCTATGTATTACAATTGCAAGTATTAGTTATACAATTTATTTGGTATTATCCTATGTATAACTAATGCATAACAAACCATGGTATTAGCAAAAGCAAGACTATTAATGCAAGCATTAGCTTGATTAAATACAAAATTGTCCTTAAAGTCCCTTAAAACTAAAGAATATGGAGGGCATTTTTGTAAGAAACTAATTTTCTTAAAAATTATGTAATGCCTTTTTATTTTTAATACACCACACCAGAGGATAAGAAATAATCTCTAGATAACTAATGCTTGCATTACTAATCGCTGCATTACTAATACACCTTATGCAACACTATTCTTATACACCCTACTAAACGACCCCTTAATGGTGTGGAGCCTTTTGGGAAAAGTCGTGCGGGCTTAACCCAAAATGGACAATATCACACCATGTTAAGAACATCTTCAGTCATTTTAGCCAAAATATTAATATCAGAACCGATAGTTTGGCGGGATTATGGAGATCATGGAGTGTAGTGTAGGGGCCCGGCTTAGTGCCGTCTTGGGGGTTTACGGCCTTTACCCGTGTAGCTTTGAGAATGCGCACACAACCTTTGGGCTTCGATAATCGTACCGTAAATACTCAAGATCTAGTGGGTGTCATATAATTAATCTCCAAATTAGCTCATGCATAGTGATGGGTCATGTGAAACTTAGTTCATGGAGGAGACTGTTGAGTGTGTGAACAAATCCCACATGAAAAATAGAAAGGAAAAATATTTTACTTATAAGGAATTCAATACTCTTGATGGTGCGAGACCTTTTGGAAAAATCCGTACGGACTTGACCCACATCGGACAATATCACATCATATTAAAAGTATGTTTGAACTAATATAGCCCAACATTCACTTTAATTTTTAACTCTTATTATTTGATACTATTAAAATACTGATTGTAAATAAGTATTTTCTGTCATGCAATATTTCTTCCCATTTCATTTGATTTGTAATTCTCCCTTCGATTCCCCCATCCCCAGTCTTATCTTCCTTACGCCAACTATAGCAAGTCTGATTCACCAAAATATGGGTAGCAAATCAATGCCATAGCATATCAATCCATTATCGGTATCATTTTTTTTTTCCTATTTCACTCGCCAAAATAAAACTAGTTATAATGATCATATCTAATAACCAACGGCTGGAAAGACCAAGAATACACATGACGAAACAACCAACAGCTTTAATTGAGAAGATAGGTGTAGACTATCAACTACCATTGCTGTTGACATATTTATTGTAGTATCATGTTGATATGTCTTGTAGCCAGCGGGTTTTTAATCTCTTCCCCATTTCCAATAATCGTAGACGGTTAATTAACTTCTAATGGGTTTTATATACGATTAAAATCGAGCCTACCCAATTTTTCTATCTGATCGGGACGAGGGAGCTGCATCGAAGGTCGGCCCCGTAGTGGATCAGGCCAAGGTACGAGGACAAGGTACCAAGTTCGGGATTCGAGGTACCTGTCGAGATCGAGGACAACAGCGATCGAGACCGAATGAGACAGACATCGAGAAAGATCGAAGATAACATAATAACGGAAAGACGAAATATCTGTAACTGGTCGAAGATTATGGCGGAAATCTTGAAACGGATCAAATTAGGAACGGTTAATTAGCTAATCATTGGATTTCCTTTTGTAATTAGAGTTATATCATAAGTAGAATGTCTCTACTATATAAAGGGGAGTATTAACCATTTGTAAGATATATTGTTCTCGCATAAAAAAGCCAATATAATGCTCTCTCTTTAGCTTATACTCTCTTGTTCATTATCTTGCTGTATTTTTAGCTGTTTTGGTATCAATCAGTTCGAAGGCACCCTAGCTCGAGGGTTGAATTCCGTTTCAACACTGGTTTACTTTACTTTATAGTTCATTTTTGTTATTAATCTTCACATTTATCAATAGATATTAGGTGAAATCATGTGTCCTTAAAACTACATTATAAGTTTAATTGTTATCCAATTTTAAGGGTAAACAGTTTGGCGCCCACTGTGAGCTAAGGATAATAGTGATTACTTAATACTGATTCCGATAACACACACTGCTTTACATTTATTCTTGTAAGAATCTTTGTTTTCAGGATAAACATGTCAAACTCACAAGCAGCGTCCACACATGGTGACAACGACCTCGGATTTCACGGGAAAAATGACAATATAGTTGTCCCATGGATCGAGGTGCCTCAGGCTGACCTCGAGGGAACACCAACTGCAAATCCCATCGATGTCAATTCACATGTCGCCCTAAATGCAAATTTGGGCGTTGATCCCGAAGGTAGCATATGCAGGGAAGTTCGATCAGGTGGTCGAGGTACGCAGGGCGGAGAAGATGGTGGAGTTAGCCTCCAATTGATATTCGAAATATTACAGGCTCAACAAGCCGCTATAGCACAACTACAAAATCAGCACCGAACACCGAGTAGGATCGAACCAGAAGTCGTCCACAGGACCGAGCCTGTGCCGGAAAGGACGAACGCCAACGAATCGGGGACTAACTCCGCCATTATGAAAATGCTCGAGGAGCTCACTAAATGGATTGAATCGGGAGAAAATAAAATCAAGGCAAATAACAAGAAAGTAGAGACATACAATTCCCGGGTTGACCAAATACCGGGGGCACCGCCGATTCTAAAGGGTATAGATTCAAAGAAATTCGTACAAAAGCCTCTCCCTCCAAGTACAACACCGAAACCCATTCCGAAGAAATTCCGAATGCCAGAAATTCCTAAGTACAATGGGAACACCGACCCTAACGAGCATGTCACTTCTTATACATATGCAATAAAAGGGAATGACTTGGAAGACGATGAGATCGAATATGTTCTACTAAAGAAATTTGGAGAAACCTTGTCGAAAAGAGCAATGATATGGTACCACAATTTGCCGCCTAATTTTATTGATTCCTTCGCTATGCTTGTAGACTCCTTCGTAAAGCCACATGCCAGAGCAATAAAGGTTGTGATTAGGAAGTTGGACCTCTTCAAGGTGAAACAAAAAGATAACAAAATGTTGAGGGAATTCGTATCTCGGTTCCAGATGGAACGCATGGAACTACCACCGGTAACAGACGATTGGGCTGTTCAAGCATTTACTCAAGGTTTGAACGAACGAAGTTCGGTGGCATCACAACAGCTAAAGCAGAATTTAATTGAATATCCAGTGGTAACCTGGGCCGATGTACATAATCGGTACCGGTCAAAGATCAGGGTCGAGGATGATCAATTGGGGACCCTTTCCGGTTCCGTTTATCCAATCTGGCTCGTCGGCAGAACTCAAAGGGATATCGACAGAGAACCCCGGTCGAACAGAGATCGGTATCAACAATACAACGTAGATTGTAGAAACAACAGCCCATGACTCAATCCCATCCGAAATGATCGAAGGAACGATCGAGGACAGAGCTCTCGAGGGCTTATGAGCAAAAGTGGCTTCGATAAACATGCCAATTCCACAGAAGCATCACGATTATCAGAATACAACTTCAACATCGACGCATCAGGTATTGTGTCAGCCATTGGAAGAATCAAAGATACTAGATGGCCCAGGCCCAACAAACCAATCCATCCCAAAGAAACACCAATCAAATATGCAAA